ATTAACTTTGAGTAGGTTATACATATCTGAATGGATTGTTTTAATGGTTCGTTTTTACTTGTCACTCCGGTCGGAGGATTCGGTCAGGATGTTGAAAATCTTGGCTCCCCGCCTATCACCATTACAGTACGTACGGCATTCGGTTAAACGATGTTTGACTGTAAGGTGGGTACCGTAGCCGACTTAAAAATTGTTCACCGCCGTTATACGACTGAATTTCAAAACACAGTTAAAATGATTTTAATACGGCGGAATATGCGTATTATGCTCCACGATTTGACGTTATAAATATCGCGAGATTTGTGCTAAGAAAAACTGCAAAGCACCGTACAAAACTGATCGACGAACGAGTGATGAATATTGACATAAGATATTGATTTCGGGATAAGACTGTGGCCTTATACATGGTACGTATTAAATATTTGTCTGGGAAAAAGGCCGAAAAACCAAACAATACAAATAAAACGGATAAGCTGGGTTCGGTCAAAAAATTCAGATGGCATGAGTATAATATATTAAAAAAAATTCACTGATAAGTTTGGACGGTAACGGCAATATTGATAGAGATTTAAAGAAAAAAATCTGTTACACATTTTAGGCAAGTCAGTAACTGAAACTAGTAACACATATACCGATAATAAACCATAAGAATAATATTTATTTACCAATAACAAAACGTTTGATACAATAATGAGATAACATTCAATATTTTATACTTAAAGGTTAGTCTATATATTCTCTAAAGCCAAACAACAATTTGTTATTTTTTTCCTATTCATAAATTTAACTCTAAAATTTGGTAATGACTTGAATGCCTTTTTACACTGTGAATTATTTATTGGAAATCGTCTTATTGGTGATTGATAAATCATCGGATCGGTTGCAGTCGTCGGTAGACTAAAGTTATAAAATACAACGATCCAGTTCTTATATCTTTTGATTTTCTACCAATAGCTTACGATCACCTATAATAGCCTCGACAATTATTAGAATAAATAAAAATATAATATAATAAACCTAAATGAACAAGATTTTTCAATTAATACATAATACCACATAACTTATTCCTACATTAGGTACCCAAAAAAGGGAGCACACGAGTTGTGTCCCGTCCCAAAAAATCCAGGACGTAAGTAATGCATTTTAATAATTAGGGATACAATATCATTGAATCCCAAAATCCTTAAATAATTGTTTCCTAAGTATATATTGTTGAAAATAAAACTATAAAATACCTGTACTCGACACGACTTTATAATGACTACCGCTATCGACTGAAAGTCAAGTTTTAAGAGCTTTTTTCGAAATCTTTGTTTATTTCTTCGAGAGACGGACACTTTCGAAGTTTCGAATTCACCTCGCAAACCAGACAAAACGCCACCGCGATTGTTACGAGCGTTGTTTATCGACCGGTCGGAATTCGACCCGATTGCAGTTGCAGCAGTTTACGTAATAAGAGTTTAATAATTTATAATTATAATTGTACACGTTTTTTCGTCGATGCTCCGTGCGGATATATAATATTATAACGACGTTGCAAAACCGTATGAGATAACTATAAATACCCACACTTCGGGCCACACTCTGTATATTTCATTAAATTATATTATTATTACTGTAACGTTATTTATCGTTCTGTAACGTGCACACGAACGCACACGATGACACCCGTTAGATTGTTATTATATTACGATCTCGGGGGGGGGGGGGGGGGGGGAGCGCACTTAACTACGGAGAAAACCAAAATAAAAATTGTTCGTCAAATATTTTTTTAAATTAAATGTCCTTGGCATTTGTGACATTAAATTGCAAATGTAATATTGATTAGATACATAATTAATGATATTAAAAATATAATATAAAATAATTGTATTACTACAACTAATTTAACAATATATTTAAATATTAAGTATTAAAAACTATTTTGTCGTTTCAGAATGAAAAAGTTCTGGCGTAATTTATTTTATTTTTAAGGGAACGTTTTTAAGTTGGAGATTGAATAACTTTTTTTACCATAAATACTAAATCATGAAAATTGAATGCAATATCAAGAAAGTTCCAAAGACAACTTGACCTGCAATTTGTTTATCCACAATTATTGATCGAGTTAACTATAAAAATCCAAAATATTAATTTTAGAATTAAAAGGTTTTACGTGTAGAACTTTTTCATTCTAATTTAAATCATTTCTCCTGTACAGTGATTATGTGCAAAAACCCATTTTTTAGGTTCCACACCACGGACAAATAGGGTCTTCTTATTATTTCATTAAATATGGGTGGGGTGGATGTGTCCTCTATCTCAAGACGGTTGATTGAGATCTCGTGTTTTCTAGTGGTGTTGACCAATAAAGAGAAAAGGATGAAAAAGATTTTTTTATTTCGTTTAGCTCGGTTGAACGTTTATTCCGTTTCATTTCACTCTGCTGCAATATGTGTCATCTTCACAATAACTCTCTTTGAGACGTTATAGGAAAAAACGGAGGAGATGAGAGCATCTGGGGCTGAGTGGGCGAGTTTTGGGGCCGTATCTGCTTGTTCGTTGTCATCTATATATTGCTGAAGGGATGTAATGATTTTCTTATAATATAATATTATATTCGATTTTCTGTTTTTTTTTTTATTAATATTTTCTGTATAATATAATGGCTTTTTCACAGCAGTGGAAGCGGAAAATCGTGAGACAAAGTACGCCGTGTTTAAACTTATAGCACAGTGTTAGGTATTGGAAATATTAATTCGTTTTCGTTTGTCGCGAAATAAAATATTAAAGTAAAACGCCTTTCCTTCGTATCCAAATTACCTACCAAATAAAATATGTTTTTTGTGTTGATATCAAAAATTATTATATTTTTATTTAATTTTAATAACTACGTAGGCCCATTATAATAGGATGTGTGCGATTTACGCAGTACGTTAACAGATAATTTATACGAAACTGTGACAGCGGCGCGGCGGTTGAACCGTACCTATGAGAAATAAATTGTTTATTTGAAATTAAATTAATCTCGGTGGGTTTTTTTTTATCGAGTGGGAAACTTTTAACAGTTATTATTGCCATCATACAATATGATTACATTTTATTTTTATTATGAGTATTTATGGGTTTTTAATATTGTTATTTACGTATATGTATATCAGACATGCTTAACTCATGAGAACTTATTTACGATAATAATATTATATGTAATATGTCAAACGTTATAAAGTAAAAAAAAAAAATGATTTTTTGTACAAAATAATTATAATAATAATATAGATCTGCTGTACTATTTATAATACATTTTAATTGCTGTTTGAACAAGTTGAAAACTTTGTTTGAATGTTCAACTACATCACTCCATCGATATGTAAAATTTTCAGTAAAAAATAATTTCTGAAATAACCTTTAAACACAATACAACTATTTTTCTTCATTAAATGCATTGATTTTTTTCATTTTTAAAAGCACTCGATATATTTTATATACGCATGATATTGAAACGTATAATACCTATAAACTAGTCTCAGATTCTTAATTTCCACAATTTTTTTTATAAAAATTGTAAACCTAACGACGGAGTAATATTACAAATAATAAAGTTAAATAACGAATGGTATATTATAGTAAAATGTTTGAATATTGTACTTTTCACTTCGTGACTCGGGACTTTTAATTGACGTATAATCAAATACATAATTTTTTAGTGCACACTTGATCGGTTCGAGATCGGAGAAGAGAAATTCAATATTCCTAAAATACCTAGGTAGTGAATTATTCTGGCAGGTAATCAAATGCAATAAAAATACACGCACACTGCACGCCGTTATAACCTATCGTATCCATGATGGCATCGTACACAATGTCGTTGTATTATCATAATTTATTGTATAGGATCTTCCGCTGAAACTTTGCGGAATTATTCAATCGTTGAGGTCCACGCGCTAGTTATACGTTGTACGAATAATAAAAAATTAATTTGTTCGATTTATATTTAAAATTAATAAACCCACCATCTTAAAATTCGATTGATTGCAGTAAAACTATTTGGATTTAAATTTTTACCCTCATTACTTGCAATCGCATATATAAGACAATAGTAAGTATAGTATTGAACATTAAACTGTATGAATTTAGACTTATATTTTTATTAGATCCCAGTAGTATCTTATTTCGTAAAACGTTGCATTTTTTTGTTGGTGTATGAATTTATGACAACAATAAATCATTGTCAATAATAATTGATAAATTATTGTTTATTAAATTCAAACTGTAATTGGAAATTAAATTGTCCTTTTTGGATGTTTCATCCGCAAATTTTTTGTAAAAACTGTTTCGCTAGATAAAAAATTAATTGCTTTAATTACTTAAAGCCAAGCTTGAAGTACTCATAAAGTTAAATTTGATATTTTTTTTAATTGCCATTTTTATGATTTTCAGAATCATCTAATCAGGTTAAACGACAAACAACAAAAAACAATTTATAACAATGTACAGAAAATACAAAATATTATACTCAATAGTGTAAGTGCATTGATAAAATAATAATAAATAATAATGTTGTTGTGTTGTACGGCGTAATGTGTAGGCAATATAGGTGTATAAGAGAACAATCAAAAGATAATAAATTGTTAGGCTCATTATACCTGCGTACGTCATGTTTGTTTTATATTTAATTCTCGTTATTTTATAATATTAGAAAGTATATAGAATCGTTTTCTATTCACAGTAGGTAAAAGCGAAAATATGTTATTAAATATAATATTGTATGTTACTTATAGTTGTATTAAAGTGGCAGGTACTACTAAGTACATGTATTATTATTATGCCAATATTTTTTTTTTTTTACTTTCCTCGTCTATACCTCGTCCTGCAACTAATGGACAACAGTACTATTTCGCAGGATGACTCTTTTGAGTTTACTAGCCAAATATACCTATATCAATTCGATATCCTGCAAACGGGACAAGCATAGTGTGTGGTTTTAGGTTAACATCCAGTACAGAGAATACAATATAACATCGTGTCTTAAGTATAACAATGGCGAATTTTTTATTCGATTAAAAAATGTACATGACGTGCACTGCAAATAATCCGTAGCATCAACCACGCGATTGTTTTTGGTAACACATTTTCCAGTATAACAAAGGCTTTAAAAAAAAAAAAACTCAGTATGACGAGTGTCCGTAAGGATGAAGTGACTCGTGATGGTGGTAGTCCGTGGTGTCGGAGTACTCGCTGTGGTGATGGGGAGCGTCGATCTTCTTGACCACAGCGTTGAAACCGTGTTCGTGGTCAGCGGTATACTCGACGACGCGGGTGGAACCGTCCGGTTCCACGAGACGGTACGATCCTTTGACGTTACCGTGACCGTCACTGACCTCGTATTGGCTCTTGATGTCATGCGTGTGAAGGTCTTTCACACCGTACTCGAAATGATATGGCTTGGGTGCGTGGTCGTAGTGGTCGGCGTCGTAACTTTTGTACTCGGTGGGTGGGTAAGCAAAGGCCAAGTGCCCGAACAAAGCAACAAACATTATCAACTGGAATGTTCAACGATAAGTTTTCTTATCAAGCCGACAATATAATATTATACTAGTATAGTCTATGGGCGATGATAATCATAAAGGCAATATTTTTTACTTTAAATTACTAAACATCGACTGTCTAAACCGGAATCTAAAATGTAATTCAAATTATATCTTAACGTGTACCAGGAACCTGTATATTTTAGTCGATGCAATATTTCCCTAGTGTTGGATACGAAATGTGTTTATTTAAAGAAATTAATGTATTAGAATTATTATTGTTTGTAATACTATGAGCGGTTATTATACTACTTTATTTTAATATCTATTAAATATTATCAAAATATATGAATAATAAATAAAATATTCTTATACCTACAATAGTAATATCGTAAAATACTGTCAAAATTAAAATGCTAAATGTATTTGTTTATAAAAAGTAAATAAGTAAATAATATAATAATATAATAATCTTACCTTTGTAGCCATTTTGATTGTGTAGCTAGTATGTCGTCTATGAACAATTTTATAAAACAAGATGTTTACAAATAATATTTTTTCACAAAAAATGAGTACACTGATGATGATTGAAACTTTGTTTTTGGTATTTATATACTGTAGAACTGTAGTCCCTACTATATTAGATTGTTCAACTAGATAAATTAACTAAGAAATTAATCGAGTTACATCATCTCATAAAAAAAATAATGATAATTATACACGAAATACTCATCTTCATATTTATTAGTGTAAATATTATTACACAATTAATTATACTTCTAATTTAAAAATATTGTTACGAAAAGTTAGTGAATACACATGTTATTATGTATTACAATATCGTATGTGCTACGACTCATGGACCATACTATAAAATATAATAATTAATAATGTAGTGCATGCTATCATAATTTGAGATATTTTGGTTGAATTAAAATAATGATTTGCAAGACTGAAATATAATATTTTATAATGGCTATTCGTAATATTATATTATAAATGTTAAATAATTGATGATAAATTATAATATTTTTCTATTTTCTTTAATTTACTGACAATTAGAGAAATCTTGTTCATCTGAGTATTTAGGTATATATTTTTTTAATAGTATGCTATTTATACTTGGATATAGATGTATAAGATATGGTATACCTGCTTTCCAATTTTGGAAAAATGACATGATGGTAAAACACAGTGTCTAACTCTGTATGATTTGAGTTAACGTTTAAACACCACCTGGGTGCTGGGCTCATTAAACAACTATCCTTAATCAAAAAATTAAATGCTCGGTGAGTTTTTTATGTGACATTTCCATCGTTTAAGCATACACCTAGTCCACATAAACGGAGTTGTGTGAAAGGCCACTCAGCTGCTTTATACAACCGGCAATGTCTACTCAGTTCTAATATTGTAGCGAGTAACTCATAAACGTCATAAACTTTAATAATATTTCAACAATTAGTTGTACGGAAATCATGCATTCTCGGCTTTCAGTGTTGAATTTCAGCACGTTCAACCTCCAGGGATGGAAGTAGTAAATATATACTGGTGCCGAGGGGTTTGTACTCGTTTCTCTATACACTGGAGGTTTGAGAATAGTGATTCATAAAATCAAAGTTCCCTAGTATTTTATATAATTTATAAAAAATTTAATTATTTAAATTAAGTTATAATAATGATATACAGTAAACGCTGATTTATATAATTTTCAATACCACATAGTTCTCTGCCCGGAAATTCAATGTTAATAAAATAAACCATTTCGAGTTTTCAATACGACGTATATTATCAAGTCAACACTGCAGTAGTTACCAATGTAAGTACCCAAATATCAATAATTAAACCTTATAAGGTTTTAACTATTGTACTTTTATATGATTAGGTGAGTCACGATTGACATGCCTAAGATTACGTTTCTGGTGTCACATAATAATATAACATGAATAATGAATAGTAGACCGAATAATGAGTACCTATCTATAAGTAGAACAATTTCAATTTTGTCAATAAAAAAATCAACTCAAAACAACCCTTATTCATTGATTCAGATTTGTAACTACCTTTACATTATCATAGTCCGTTTATTTGAAATAAATAAATTAAGCCGACGATGTATAACTTTTGTTGTAATAAAATTAAAACAATGATCAGTAGGTATACCTAAACCAATATAAACTAAATAATAATATTATATATTAATGCTGCCCAGTGCCCGGTGCCCAGTGCCCGTTATTATTAACTGCATACTATCTATTTATACAAATTAAGTTTATCAGCGAGTACACATTAATAATAATTATTTATTATTAATTTATTTAATGTTTATTAAAAATGTTAAATTTAAGCCTACGCTAAGCATTCTGGGTATCAAGAACTTGGAGAACATATTTTAATTTTAAAAATACATATTCAAAATGTCACTAAGATACGGAGTCCGTATACAATCGACTAGATGAATAAAAAATAAAAAACAGGTATGTAATAGTATCTAATGAATATCGTAATACTTAGAAATCAAAAGTATTTAGACTCGATTTTTCCTCTAAATATTTATTCAGGTCAGGTTTCGTACTAGTTTTAACGAATTGCATGCGATCTATCCTCTGTTTCGATATTTAATATGTATTTAGTTGGCACTTAATATAGGTTATGATTGTTCCAGTTATTTATATAGGTTGTATGAAAAAAGCTCCATCGATTTTGAGGACATTTTCTCGTGTGTCCAGCGTTATTTTTCAAACGCACTTTCACCACTAGATGGCACTGCATATTTCATTACTTGAAATACATTTCAAAACTGTCCACGTTTAATCGGCTGAAAATCGAATAGAAAACGTCATTATATTTTAATTTAGTGTATTGTCTTCTAACCGTTCTAGAGATACTTCACAGTTTATAGAGATCATATTTTGTTCAAAACTTAATTCGACTAAAATTCGACGGTTTTCCGGATACCAACAGGTTATACATAGGTATTATGATTATACCGTACTCTACAGCTATACCTATAGAGTTAATTAAATGTGCTTTCGTTACGTCATATAAATTATATAATCGCACACTTAAACTCTACCTATACAGTTCATCGCTTTGCGATATCAAATAAATATCGATATCGACAGCCGCGGAACCAGTTTGTTATTTGAGATTTGCATATTATGTAGACTGGATGACGTTGTAGTAAAAAGCACCTACCTACGACAACTATGAATGATACATAATAATATTATATCGTACTGCAGTGGCGTAAAAACTCGTGAAATTGATTGGTACTGAGTTAGATTCAGGTATGATACTATTAGATCACACTCGAAAACCGTTGTTATCGTATTTCGAAAAGTCGAATTCGTCACTATACCTATAGATAAACCTAACGTTGTGGTTTTAGTGTTTTTAACCGTCAAAAACTTGACCTTTTGACGTTTTTTAATGGTCTTGAAGATTTTTCTTTGTTTTATCAACTCAATTTTTCATATGTTGTTTTCGTTTATCATTAGTTAAATGTTTATGAAATCAAATTGTTTTCGTTGGCTAAGCGTATGGTGAAATCCAATAATTTATCTTTTGATGTTCAGCTCAATAAAAATCTTATAATTATTGATCTAATTGGAGGGGTTTACAATAGATACGATTATTTTCTATAAGAGTATAAGGCACTATATTGACGATGGATGTAATGTCAATGTCGAATGGGTAGAAATATAAATGATTATAATATATATGACGAATATACGACTTAGAGTTTGGCATTAGACGAGGCTTATAAAAATCTATAGTTGATCACAAAATTAAAGCGGCAGATTAACGGAGTGATCGACGTGAGTCATTTCAAATTACCTTTAAGTATATTATCTGAAAACAAGATATAATAATAAAAAAAGGGCTTAGTAACCGATATGGAATATCTTTTTTTTTTAACTTTGGATTATATTAAGTACCTATTATAATGGTATTTAGCTTGTATGATCGATAAGAATAAAATTTCTGTTCTCGTTTGTGCAGCATTTCGATATAATAGTGAAAGCACTCCGTTTGATCTCTTTCGTAAATTAATATCAACTGTTAATCGCCATTTTTTAATTTACTTGTTTATTTTTGTTTTTGTGAGAGGTCAAATTGTGAGTAGACATAGTGGGAGGGGGGATGGGGAAGACCGTTGCCCGATTTGAATCGGCTTCCGAGGAATTTGCGCCCAGAAGACACAAGACCGGTAATTAAAAATCACAATAACGATAAAAATAATAATAATAACTGGATCTTTGACGCTATTGTACAGTAAAAAATACAAAGGTATTGTTTTTATTATTAGTTTTCTTTTTAATTCGCACAAACTTTTATCATTAAGTATTGAATGAATTTTTTTGTTGTTGTTATGCATTCGATGATTAAGTATCGTTGTTCTCGAAATTTGACTATTTAAAAAAATATACTACAATGTTAACAAAGTAATTTATTTTTATCTTATAATATACCTAACACTTTAATATAACAGTGAACATAATATACAAAGTATTCTTAACAAAAAGTGTTTTGTTTAGATTTAACTGTGACTGATAACAAATTTAAAGTACAAACATTATTTTATTGAACATAGGTGTTGAAAAAATTAAATAATTAAAAATGTCTACGTGAAGTCAATTAATTTTTAACTTTGCTCTGAATTTAATGTACATCATTATTTATTACTCGTATTGTTCCAATCTGTATTTATGTTTCTTAAGCTAAAAAAATATGTGTGCCAGTAAATAATAATATATTCTGAAATTGATAGCATATTATGATAATCAATAATTTTCCACGAAAATTGTGGTCGTTTTGAAAACAGTAAAATGTTCATGTTATCGAAAACTGACTCTCGGTGTGTTATACCCACGTTGTTATAATTTGCTTATATTATGTAATAATTAAAAATCCACTTTTGATGGGTTATTCATTATGACAATTAGATGAAAACTCTTTGACAACATCGTCTGTTTATGGCTGTTGGTCGTCACGATAATTATATTATTTCGAGTTAATTGGCTTTTGTATTATTATCTGAAACGTCATTCATTATATTGTTGTATTATAATTATTTCAACCTATTAGAGATCGAAATAATATAAACTGAGATTCCTTTCACTTATATTTTTGGTTTTTTTATTTTTTGTTTGTTGTGCTATGTTTCTATTGAGATCATATTCTATTTTGTCGATTGCAATAAAAAAATCGAAAATCGTGACATACCTATATACCTACGGTCTATATGAGAGTTTTATTTTTGTGTACACAACCACCATTTTTACGTTTTGGTTATCGGTACAAAGCAAACATCGAACATTATTGTGTTTTAATTTGTGTAACAAAAACGGCGAACCTATACACCTATTGCAGAAATAAGAATAAAAATATTTAAATCTTGCTTCGTGTATCACAAGATTGCATGGCTTCGCAGATGCCGATCGAATCTTCGTTTTTTATTTTTTTTTTCGTTCAGTGAATAATAAAATAATAATATAATAATATTATACGAGCGATTCTTCATTTGAAACCGTTTCATACGAGTTTCGCGTTTTATTTTATAACGATCGGGAATCGGTGTTATGTG